ATATATATTTTTAATTAATCTTCTTGCATTAGGAAAAAAAAATGGAGAAAATGTCATTTCAATTTTAAATTCACGTTTCTTTGGATAAAAATAAAATAAATAATTTATATGAGAAATTTTTTTAAATATCTAACTAATCTCCTCTGCCTTTATTAAATGAATTTTAAGGAAATAAGCCTAGTGATATTAGTATGGCTGCTCTTAGACTAGATGTTTTATAATACTGTATAGTTTATAGAGAAAATTTATAGTTTTTCTTAAAAATATTTTCATAACACATCAGGTAACTAGAAAAGTGTAGTTTCATAAATTCCGCTCAAACTTTATTTTCGAAAGGTAGTTTAGTGGTGATGTGAATGAGCAAATTCGACGTGTTTCAACACGTTTACACTAAATTTTTGGCTCCTGTTGTTTAAGATATTTAAGGAGATTAATCAGGAAACTCTTTTTTTTTTCGTTTTGTTCTAGCCCAACAGTTTAATAAAATGTATCCCGTGTCCCCCAAATGCCAATTTTGTCTTTTGTCACAGGACTGTTCTGGATGACGGTTTCACTCATTTTGTGCCACAGATTCTTGAAGCGTTATTCGATTTTTCTTTAATGTTTTGAGATTTACTGTTACGTATAAACAGCTTTTAAGACTAGAAACATGTTTACTGTTTACATTTAATCCCCCTGTTTATTAAAAGAAATATCATTGAAAACAATATGAAATTCTCAATTATCTGGCAGCTTTGCACGATAGTTCTTGTGAAAGATGATGTTTAAAGTTGTTCTACCCTTAAAATACTCATCGCATAGGTGTTATTAACCCAAAAACTCACAAGATATCACACACAATCTTGTACAGATAATTCCTCTATATCAGCGTTAAGGTTAAACATACCTTTGAATAAAACAAATTATGAAGAAATATGTATATGTAACGCTGGTCGAAAAGGATATTTTTCTATTTTAACTTTCTCGATATATATATATATATATTATANAAATGCCGAAATTCTATCGAGCTAGTTTAAAGCTAATTACTAAACGAATTACGTAACCAATTTGGTTCCATACAAGTCCACATGGACCACACAAGTCATTCTCAAATCAGTGTCTTGAGTAGCTAGTATGGTTATATCTAAATCAATTAATTAATTAAAAATTCTATATCATGTTTATGTATTGTATGTTTGCCATCGGGTTGTAATGGTGCCCTCGGCCACCAGGGTATGTAGTTCCATTTCTCATCCCCATGTTACCTTAAAAGGAAGTAGAAGGTCCTTCCACGGGTTAAGGTAGTCGAGATACTTCCATTGTTATGACCTGTCGCCATTAACTTTATTTTTTTAACATGTAGTATTGTGCATTAAATGTTGTTGAGTTTTATATTTGTGTATGAATGCTATTCGCACAATGTTGCTAATATGTTTTATTGTTTTTTTTTGGCTCTTTATGTATTACGTCCCGAGGGAAAAATGTACGAACTGAATTCGATTGTTTTTATCAAATCATATGATTGGCTGAAGAAGTTAAACCTGAAATTCAAATCATGATGCAAAATTAAAAAACGAAAACAAAAAACAGAATTTCTCTTCTCTCACTCGGTGGCGCTGTTTTGCAATTTTTGTCACTAGGGGCGCTGCAATGATATGCTACTAGAGCGCTGTTCTGAAGAGTCCTCCACCTAGCGGCTTATTTTGGAAAAAAAATCAGTCACTGAAGATGCTGCAAAATTTGCTACTAGAGGCGCTCTTCTTAAAAATTTGTTAGTGACGGTGATTTTTTCAAATTTAAATTCGTAGCGCTTTAAACTTCAGGTTTCAAATTCAATTCAGATTTTAATGCGCTACTTACAATAATAAAGATTATATTTAATCATGAAAATGCTACTTTATTAATAATCAGAATCATGTTAAATACGAACTTGACCTCATTTGTAAATCAAGTAAATCAAAATATAAAAAAAATTACAAGTAAAAAAATCGAATTCAGTTCGCTTTTTGATTATGATTGTTAAGCTTTTGTTGTAAAAAAAAATTTACGGTCATCTGACGATAAACTTTAATGTGCAATTGTTATTTGTCCTATTTTAACTGCCAATTTGGATCCAATGATAACCCAGGAGGGTAATTTTGTGACGTTAAAAGTTAACTTTACAAATGATATAAAGTGTTGAATGTTTTTATTTGGATATGACGAAAGAAGGAACGAAAAAAAAAATCTCTGTATATTTACTTTTATGCCAAATTATAAATCTTATATTCAGAAAAAATATACGTTTTTATGGTTCTTTTATTCAAAAATTTCTTTTTAAAAAGAATTTTACTCTTATTTAAAAAAAATAATCGATTTAAAGTACAAAACATTAACATACGACTCAATTTACACGCGCGATTAAAAATAATATATATAAATTAAAATTAAAAGTTATTTTTAACACAAAACCTCATAAAAAGAAAATGTAAATTAAATGCTAATAAAGTTTCTTGCATCATCGGAATTATGTTTTTCCTGGGTATGGCATACGAAACTATTTGACTTATTATGCATGACAGATGCGCGACTTACCGACGTCATCGACGACTCAAACTTTATGACGTTATATCCATATGTAAATGAGTCACGCCATTATTACATTGCAAAGTGATACTCGTGAATGTGACGCATTTGTATATTTATACAGTATAAAAAATTAACTGAAGAATGCGATTAAATTTATCTTTTTTTTTTCTCTCCTTCTCTCATTTGTTGTTTGCGTCATAGCGAAGCGATCTCGCTACAGTTCGTGACTCTCATCGCAACAAGAGCATTTTAAAAATTTATTTATTTACTATAACGTTATAACACATCTTAACCTTCAGTTTAAATGATTTTTAAATATTGAATAATAAATATAACAAAATAAATATATATACATTACAACGTGAAAGAATTACATTTTTATCGCTTCACTGTAAAATTTCGAAATTAGCGATTTGCGATTTTTCAAAAGTATCTAATAAAATAGTGTTAAAAGTTAATCTTTTATAATTGAATTTTTAAAAAAGTAAATTTTAAAAATCGTTTACTTAAATGGGCAATTTTAAGAATCAAAATTAAAATTAATTTTTACACAATTACACGAAAATATCAATTAACGCGGCAAAATTAAGCGACATTTGCGATTTTTTTTCTCGCGAAAAAAAAAATCGCAAATTTTTCGAATTTGCAATTTTTGTAATTTTGAATATATCAAATATTTTTGTAGCAAGTATTTAATTTTAAAATATCAAAAAATAACTTAGCAAATAAATTCCTTATTTAGAATATTTTAACCTAATTAAATTTACAAATTCTTTTAAACGATATCGATAGCGATTTTTGAGATTTTCTCGTCATAATTTTCGAATTTTATATATAAAAAAAAACTGCAATTCATTTAATTTTATAAAACTTCAAATAAATTTCTAAAATATAAAAACAGCACATTACTGTTAAAAATTATTTAATAAATTAGAAAAATGTAAGCTTGTTTGATAATTTGAGCTAAAGAAATGTAAGAAATTTCCATCGAAATATGGGAATGGTTTTTTCATAAATTTCCTTTTGCAAAACTCGAAAATATTTAAAATTAGACTAATTTTTAAGAGGAAAACACTATTCATAATGTGGCAAATTAATAAGGCTTCTGGAATATTTTTAGTAAATAGCATTTTATTTTTTCAGGAAAAAAAGGGTTCTTGACGTTACCTTGACATCACAGACGATTGATGACGTAACTGGATGAGGAAATGCAATTAGGGATTAATTTCCAGTTGGTACTGAATACATTTCTGTAACGTCAATACGTACGTGACTACGGAAGTTTCGTGATCCACTATCGATGAATATCTTTCTAATAATTATGACACATATCTTCTCTTGAGTATCGCGTGTTGTCACGAAAATCAACGCCATTTTTCTTTTAATATCAGCTTGCAAACATTCGGATACTTCACTTTCTTTTTATAACTTGGCCATAACTCTTCGAGATAATATATACATATTTTTTTTTTTTCATAAAAAGTTAAATATTACACACTGATTTCTATAATGCTTTTTAGATTACTTAAAATTAATTATGGCAATATTTATGAAAAAATTTAGAGACCATTCAATGTATATTTAATGCAGAATGAATAATAAATTTAATATTGTTAAACGATTTCTTAATCAACAAGCAATGAGCAATTGACAATCGATACAAAAGGTTATAATGTGTATCACGTGATTTTTGGTAACAAAGAATTTGCTGTTTAACGAACAATAGTCACACTAGTTTAGAAATTTTCTATGTTTAAACTTCATTTAATTTTAATTATGCTATTCAAGTACAAAAGGAAACATATAAAATTAATTACAATTTTATACATTTATTACAAATTTAAAAAAAAAATCGTTAGCGATTAGCGAGCGACTCGCAATATCGCGAGCGATTTTTTTTTGCGACAAGTCTATTGTTTGTGTGTGGTTTTTTTTTTTAAATATTTATTTGTTTATTAAATTTTTAATTAATGAAATAAATAATGTATAATAAATGACGTTTTTTACCAATTAATAAATATAAAGATAATTAAAATTCACATCTGTTTGGGGGAAAAATTTACAGAAAAATAAAAGAACGTGACCGGATTTTTCCCTGTAATTATCAATTTATTGAGTTTTTCTTGCAATTTTCGGCAATTTA